TATCATATAGTCGTTTTAAATAATGATAGTGTTGATAAATTCCTAAATAAAGTATATATAAATCTCCATTATATTTTTCTATCAAAATTTTAAAAAGTCTATAAATTCTAATTTATTGATATAAGTATTCTTGCTAAGATTCCTCTACTTTTGCTTTGCCTAAAAGTCAGGTGGTTGACTTGGGATGCTCCAAATATATACCATTATTAAAAAAAAAAAAAAAAATGCTTATTTTAAATAATATTCTATGATAAAAATTTCTTATTATTCTTGCATAAGTGTTACTATTTACTTAAGTTAAATGATAGTGATAGATAAAAAAAATATAGTAAAAAAGAAAGAGATAAAAAAAAAATATGAGTCCAAAATCTTTGGACCATATAAATAAAAAAATATGTCTTCAGATTTTTAAATTGTGATTTATATACTAAGTAAAAGTAGATAGGATAAGAGAAGTTAATTGTTCAATATCAACTACCAAAATAAGAAGGGAAAAAAAAAGACAATTAAATATAATTTTATTGTTATTGTTTAATGCTATTTTGATCTAAAATAAATTTTTACAAAATTTTAAATCTCAAAAATTATTTTCATAAAAAAAAAGATAGCTATTAAATTCCTTACATAAATATAGCACATAAAATGTTACCATATAATTCACACTTATAATCTGCATACAAATTTCATAAAGTAGATCAAAGATTGAAAAAGATTATAATTACTAACCTTATTTTAAAAACAATTATAAAAAATAATCTTTAATATCAAATTATTTATAATAAATTTAGAAATAATTTTGTTCAAAAAAAATTCATCAATTTACATAAATTAGTATTTTAAATTATTTACTTCTTTATTATGTGGCATATTTAAATTTATATCTTCAACTTCAATTCTGGCTATTTTTTTACATTCTTTATTTTTTTATTATAAATTCACTCTTTTTATTTTTGATACTTTTATATTTTTGATTTTTATGATTACTTGAATAAATTTTCTAAAAAATATTAATTTTGATTCTACAAGGATCTTACTATTGATCATAAAGCTTTGTAAGATTGAGGATTTAATGATTTATTTAATTTTTTTAAAATAAAAAAAAATAGCTTTTGGTTTATTTTTTTTATAAATTAATAATTTTATATTAGATTCATATAAAGTAAATAATTTTTTTTAAAAAAAGAATTTTTCTAAGGCTAAATAAAAAATAGATGATTCTTTGAATAAATTCAAAATTATCTCATCTTTTCCAAAGAATATTTAACCCATTTTTATTTTAGCACTTGTACTTTAGAAACAACTAAAGAAAATAAAAATTATTTTTTTATATTTTATTTTATTTTATTTTATTTATTATAGAAAAGCATCAAGTATATTAGTCTAAGCTATTATATGTATGATATCTTAAGAAAATAATTGTTGAGGATTTAGGTTTTGGTTTTAGATTTATAATACTTAAATTATTTTTTAAATATTTTAAATTTCGAAAAAAAAATTGATGATTTTTGTAATTATTCAAATGATTTTAGTATAGATTTAATGGATTATTGATAATAATAATATTTATTAATATAAAACTTGCATATTTTTTCATGTATTCTATTGAAATAACATTCTTTGGATAAATTATAATGATAATGCCAGAAACAACACACAATTACCACAATAGATCTATTATATTAATCTTTACAATAAGATCTTCAATAATTAGAAATTAATTTCTTTTAATTTAATACTAAATATATTAGATATAATTTCTTATAATTTTAATATAGATTTTTTATTTACTTTTTATTTTTTAAATAAATTTTATTCAATCTTAAGTGGTGAAGGACCTTGTAGGGTTGAATTTGAGGTTGATTTTTTTTCCTATAAGAATTGATTTAATTACTTTAAAAAAATAGATAAAATATTTAAATCATTTTTATTTTATTCACTATAGTCTAAAAGTATAGGCTTTTAATTTTTTGTACTTAGACTTGATTGTTAGGTTTTGATTCAAGATAAAATATGACATCTATTTACTTTTGAATTATATTGTACTTATTGTTTCATTCTTGAAGACAATTTTTTTTGTCTTAACATACGATTTAATTCTTTATATCAACTATTACACAAAAAACTATATTAAATAAGTATGTAAATATTTTATATAAAAAAATCTATATGATTATTAACTAGCAATAAAATAACTGAAATACATAAATATATTAAAATAAAAGATTAATGAAATAGCTAGGTTGATTTTATAAGAATATAAATACAAATATAGATTCTTTTGCCCTTCTAAGCATATAAGGATTTTTGTTCTTAATAATGTTTTATTTCTTAAAAAATTAATTTTTTTTAATACCTAATTTTTGCATATAGTATATTTTTGGACTATAGAAGACATGCCAACTCTTTGAATAAAGTCAAGTCAAATGACACCATTATTTAAGAAAATATCAAAATATTAGATATTTAAAGCTTGAAATGAGTTTCTTTCAGATATAATATCCTTCAATGGATATTTTTTAATATTTTAAAGAACTTTGATGACTTCTTATTGCTCAACTGTATGTCAAAATTTTAAAATTAATATTTTAAAGAATGATTGTGTAAATAATAAAACTATATTTATATAAGATCAATATCAAGCATAAATTGATTTTACAATGGTCATTAAAAATCATAACAAATAGTATTTGTGGTCAATCAACTAATAATCACTATATTTACAAAGAAATTTATATAAAAAAATTATTCTTTATAAAAAGACCTGCTAAAATTTAAAATATTTGAAAGTATTGATATTTTTTATAATTGTAAAGATATAACAAGTGGCAATCTCTTTGGCAACATCACTGGATCAATTTGAGAGTCTAAAGAAGGATTTTGATTAAGTCGATTGGTTGTATTATTAAATAAAATTAGAAATTAAATATACTCAATTCTAAAGTCTGAAATATGGCCATACTCTATTTCAATAAAAACTTTTGATATAATGTCACAAATTTGATATAAAAATTTAATCTGTTATTGTAAAAACAATTATATTTATTCATGAAAACTTGTGACTTACTTCTTTCTTTATATTACATAATTAAAATTCTATTATAAGTTATTTATTTCAGAATCAGAAATAGATTTTTATACATTTGAAAATTTATAATATTATAAAAAATCACATATTTTTAATAATTCAGAACTCTTTGAGAAACAATAAATCATCTTATTGCTGTAATTTACTACTGCTATTGTTACTTAAAATATATATTTTAAAAATATTTATTGAAAATATTCTTTGACATTATTTTTTATAACTTTATGTTATCTTTATTACCAAAATTTTAAAGTATCAGATAATATGTTAATATTTTATTTATTCTTGAAATATCTTAATATTTTCTTTAAAAAATTGAATCTTTCAATTTTTTATATAATACTTTTGTAAAACAAATGTTTGAAAGATTTGAAAACACATTTTTAAGCTAACAATTTACAAAGCCTCATATCCTTAAATAATAATATATAAATTAAAATGTACCAAAAAAATCTCTGCCTTTTTTATATAAGTTTCAAATCTAATTTATGTTAATGATTAAAGTTTCCTGTATATATTACTATGTCTAAATTTAATTACTAATTTGCATCTAATTTGGCTAATAATGACAGGTCTTTAAACACATTTTTAAATATCTTAATTTTAAATCAATGAAAAAATATGATATAATACATATCGAGAGAGAGAGAGATATTTATATATACATTTTTATATATTTCAAAAAACTACTATATTATTGTAATCCTAAAGGACTTTATAATGAATCAAATTACATGTTAATGATGATTTTGATATACAATTTTAAATGTTTTAATAGATGACGTGCCATTTTAGAACAAAATAATTTACTGAAATAAATATAATTGTTCTATTGTGGAAAAGAAAAGAAAAAAAAAAAAAAAATCTTCATTTCAAAACATACTTGAATATTCAAAGATTCTAAGTGGTTGATAATCTGATATTTTTCAGAAACACTTGACTATTCAAAAATTCGAAACACACATACACAGAAGCCAGGATCACGCTTCAAAATTCCAAAGATTCATTTATTCAGTCTAGTATCCAGATTTTCGCAAATGCCACAAATGAAAACTCGGCCATTCAATAACATCATTAAAACAACATTCCCGACAAAAATATAACAAAATAACCACGAAATATTTAAAAATAAGTTCACTACTTTTTGAAAAGTTGGAAAAGATAGCATACAATATTAAAAGAATTACGGTCTCAACACACATTTTAGTAAAGTTTCAAAAAGAAACCCAAAGCTCATTGCAAAGCTCAGCTCCTGGATGCGGACTTCATTTTAAGTCGTGGACTTAAATTTATGAGACGTGGACCGTTCAATCGGGACGTGGACTTTCGACCCGAATCACTCCACGCCAGCTCCGGAGCTCGCTAAGCGGCGCAGAACTGCCGAAGAGTTTCCCGAAGCGATGGATTTCACTGCAAATGGTGAGAATGGTGAGATCCTGAAGAATAGATCATGGCCAGCATTGAGTACAGCTCTTCCAACGCCTTTGGCATTGTGGAAAGACTGTCAAATTTGTTGTCGAAATAGACTTCTTTTTCTAGGTAGTTAGTTGACTTGCCTGTCAGACGCAGCCCATGCGCATGCCACCTTTCGAAGACGGCACTCGCATGATTCATGGAGGGTGCGGCTTTTATGAAACCAACACATCATTCAGATTCTGAGCCTCGGGGTCCATCCACTGCTTGTCCAAACTCGGGGACCACCAGCGAGTGCCGGTCTGCAAGCCGCGTTGCGGAGCATCCGTCGCGATGGTGATGCCTGCAGCATCCTACGGCGCTGCCGCAGTCGCCACCTTTTTCCAAGGAAAGAGCAAAGCTGACAAAAGATGCGATTCATGTTTAAGTCCAACCTCGTGGACTAAGAAACTGGCTCGATCAGCAAAGGTTTCTTTGGACTCTAAATCCGTGACTGCAATTCTGGAATCGGCACTATCGAGCAGGATCAACCTCTTGCATAACAGCCAGCGCTGGCGCAGCTTGCATGGTACTGGCTCAGCTCTGTTTGCACGAAAGTGGATTGAAACAGATGGGCCTTTCGATGTAGCCCAGAGGAGCAGGTGGTCTACAGAATCTGGGAGTGATTCAACCTGTGGAATTCGTGGTAGAGTTGGACTGGAGTTGGTTGTGCGGTGGACTAGATTCTTGTCCAAGGAATTAGCTATGGAGAGTAGAGGTAGGTGATTGAATTTTAGATCTAGAGGGGGGAAGTAGTGTGTTCGGATCTAGTTGGAAAGGTTTGTGACCATGGCTTCAGAGAAGGGGGATGCGGGTTTTGATAACAGTGGCCGAAGAGGGCCATCGCTGGTGGGCAGCATGAGTGGCAACATGCGGGGGAAATGGGGGATCTTGGGCATGATGGACAACGCTTTGGAGAGAGCCTCTGCTTCCCGACGCGAGGACGCTTTGGATGACGAGGAGGCGTTGAAGTGGGCGGCCGTTGAGCGCCTGCCGACTTACGATCGCGTGCGCACAAGCATCTTTCGTGACCCCGCTACAGGGAAAACAAAGCAGGTGGACGTTAGGGAGCTCACACCGCTGGAGACCAATGAGCTGCTTCAAAAGCTTATTGCGGAAACACAGGACGAAAACAACCTCCTTCTGCTCAAACTGCGGAAACGCCTCGACAAGTAATATTTCTTCACTCCTCTCTATGAAAGTTGAACTGGGAGGGCTAGACAATTCCTTAAGACTCTCCCACATAGTTACCAACATAGTAATCATTTGATGAATTGTGTCTTTTTCCCAACATTATGTTCGCTATGGATGTGATTCGAGGATGGGGTTGAATTGTTGACAGAATTCAGCCATAGCGCCTCCTGATAAGTCCTAGTTCTCTTACAATTTAGCTGAATTCTCTTTTGGGTTCGAAGATTGTGACGATACAATCCAAGTGGGGTTCCTGTAAGTCTAGATCGGATTGTACTAAGTTTACTGAAAGAGACATAGAGAGTGGAATTGACCTGTACGTTTGAGCAATTGAAGTCCTCATTTACTGCTTTGTCATGGCAACGATCATGTTTTTTGCAGGGTTGAAATTGACCTGCCAAAGATTGAAGTGCGCTATGAGAATCTTTCAATCGAGGCCGATTGCTACGTTGGCCACCGCGCTCTGCCATCGATGTGGAACACTACGCGGAATTTTGTGGAGGTAAAGCTTGACAGCAGTTCTTGTAGAAGAAGGTACCATATGTTGAAGCATTGAGCAATCTCTCCACCACCTTCTTTTGATTTGTTGACTGTATATTGGTTCTCATTGCAGACCATACTGGACAAACTTCATATCTCGGTTGCCAAGAAGACTAAGCTGTCCATTCTGGACAACGTCAGCGGGGTAGTCAAGCCTGGCAGGTCCGACTCTGAGGGCAGCATTTTGGACTTCGAGTTTTCGAGCAAAATTTGTAATTAGATCATATTATGTCAATAAGAATGAAAGAATGCCGCATTCGTCATGTGTTTGCATCTGCATTTAAGATTAAGGAAGAGCTGAAATTGCACTCGGAAACCTGAATTGAGACAACGGTGGGCCAGGATGACGCTGTTGCTCGGTCCTCCTGGTTCTGGGAAGACAACGCTCCTCTTGGCATTAGCAGGAAGACTTGCAAAGGACTTGCGTGTCACAGGGAAAGTAACGCTCAATGGAAACACTCACGATAAGTTTGTGCCGCAAAGAACAGCAGCCTACATCAGTCAACGTGACCTTCACGTCGGTGAAATGACCGTTCGAGAAACATTGGAATTCTCTGCTAAATGCCAGGGTGTTGGTACACGATACGGTGAGTTCGGCTGCTGCTTGCCAATGTTCAATAATCATCACAATGTCTTTGGATTGTACTCTTGTAAAGTCCATCCAATCTTCTCACTCTCGTATTAACCGAGCTTTGATCATGGAGCAGAGCTTTTGGAGGAAGTCACTAGGAGGGAAAAGGCGGCTGGAATCTATCCCGAGGCAGATGTAGATACCTTTATGAAGGTGGATTGATTTCCTTGTCTATGTGCACTCTCGGTTTATCTAGAAATCTGGGAGAAAATTAATGGCGTGCAAACAGGGCAAACTTTTGACAACACGCAATTACAGAAGATTTCTTTCAAGCTCGTCCAACAGCTAAATTTAGTGTCGATGTGGTGCAGATGACAGCAGTTTCGGGGCAGCAGCAGAGCGTTGGAACAGATTACACGTTGAAGGTAAGAGTACACTTGTTCCTTTCTCGATACTCCTTCCTCATTTCACAGATAATAATTGTCATTTCGATGATACGACAGCGTTTGGCTGATTAAACCTGACTCCTGCAACTGTCCACGTTTCGTGTGTAGATATTGGGATTGGATGTGTGTGCGGACATTATGGTTGGCAATGAAATGCGACGCGGCATTTCAGGTGGTCAGAAGAAGCGAGTGACGACGGGTAAGAGCGACCGTTCTCTCCACGCACATCCGAAGACTAAAAGTATGCATGACTGCGTGAGGTCCAGTGAGGGTGAATCGCAGAACAACTCTTGATTTTGTCCTTCAACGGTATTGCAGGTGAAATGATTGTTGGACCATGTACCGCACTGTTCATGGACGACATTTCGACGGGGCTGGACAGCTCGACCACATTTTCGATTGTGAGGACCTTGGGTCAGTTCACAAGATTGATGGATGCCACCGTGGTGGTGTCACTACTCCAGCCAGCTCCCGAAACCTTCAACCTTTTCGATGATATCATTCTTCTGTCTGAGGGCCAGTGCGTGTACCACGGCCCTCGGGAGCATGTCATGAGTTTCTTTGAATCCTGCGGGTTCAAGTGCCCTGAGCGGAAGGGCATTGCGGATTTTTTGCAAGAGGTAATCAATCGGACTTCATGTTCTCTGAACCAGGATATGGCGTTCTGGATAATTATCTGGTCCTAATGAAGTGTATGATTATGTGAATCAATCAGGTGACGTCGATGAAAGATCAGGAACAGTACTGGGCTGACAGTCAACGGCCATACCGGTACATTCCTGTGGGGGAGTTTTCTGAAAAGTTCAAGAAATTCCACATCGGCGCCGCAATGCTGCAGGAGCTGTCTGTGGCATTTCCCAAAGAGAGAAGCCACCAAGCTGCACTGGCCCGAGAAAAATACGCTATGTCTATAACCGAGCTTTTCAAGACCAACTTTGCCAAGGAAGTACTCCTTTACAAACGAAATGCGGTGGTTTCAGTCTTTAAAATTTTGCAGGTACGACTGTGCTCAGAACTCGCTGGCCAATTTCATTATTCTGTGGCATGTCTACATGAGATCGATCAATAGGAAGAAATAATCTGATACCAGCTGATTGATTCCAGATAAAGCATGTTGTCTGAACTCGTGTAAATGCTTCAGCAGTTCTCACGGCTTGTGGCTATACTGTGCGGATAATTAACACGAATATCGTATGGATTGGACTTGTGGCAGGTTACAATAGCTGCATTCATTTCCATGACTGTCTTTTTCCGAACGAGATTAGAGCACAAGACTGTAGAAGATGCCACGGTTTACTTAGGCGCTGCATTTTATGCAATAATGTCCGTCATGTTTGGTGGGTTCGGAGAGCTCGCCATGACGATTGAACGTCTCCCTGTGATCATCAAACAACGTGATCTTTTGTTCTTTCCAGCATGGTCATACGCCCTTTCGGCCTTTTTATTAAGCATCCCCGCTTCTATACTCGAGTCTTTGGTGTGGGTGGGCGCGACATACTACGTGACTGGATATGCTCCTGAAGTAACCAGATTTCTGAAGCAGATATTTCTGCTGTTCATGGTGGAGCAGGTGGCTGGTGGCATGTTCCGTTTCTTCGCTGGCTTGTGCCGCACCATGATCCTGGCCCAAACTGTAGGAAATGGTTGCATTCTCATCTTTTTCATGTGCGGTGGTTTCCTCCTCCCTCGCCCAGAGATTCCCGGTTGGTGGATTTGGGCCTACTGGATCTCTCCCATGACTTATTCCTACCAGGCAATCAGTGTCAATGAGGGTTTCGGTGATCGCTGGCAACAAGTGAGTGTCCTTAAACCGTCCTGTCTCTTATTGACCCCAATAAAAGAATTTAACTTCAAGGCATTCAAGCATGAGATCAGTCTCAAGTAATCTTCATGCAGAGTGGTTAAATCTAACTCTTAACGTCGTGCCTGAATGGATGGATAACAGCCGGTTCCGGGAGGCAACACAACAGTGGGGGTCACCGCTCTATTAGCCCGTGGCCAGTATCCATATGAGTATTGGTATTGGATCGGAGTGGGAGCTCTTGTTGTTTTGACTATCTTGTACAATATTGGCTTCACCCTTGCGCTAACTTTCATGCCTGGTAACACACCTACTTTCCATATTTTGCGATTACAATTTTCTTATTACGATCAGTAGTAAGCAGTTCGACAGTAAGTGTGATGACTTGGTTACTGTACAGGACTGTGGCTCCAACTGATAGTATACTGATGAGTCTGTTACCATGGCAGCTGTGGGAACGCCTCAAGCAATCTTGTCTGAAGAGGATCTTGCAATAAAGGAAGCAGCCAAAAAGGGAGAAACGCTTGATGCGACTGCAATGTTCCGAACACACCACAACTTGTCACGAAGAGCATCAGCTAAAAATCTTCAAGGAACCTCCCCGAAAAGGGAAGTGACGAAGAGCAAAAGTGGAGGCAGGCGCATGATTGTACCCAAGGAGGCAAGGGGCATGGTTCTCCCTTTTGAACCCTTGTCCATCTCCTTCGATGATATCAGCTACTACATCGACATGCCTGCTGTGAGTTCATTTTTCTCGAACTTTACTCAATTGAATCTGATGTGTTTCCAGAGTCAGTACTGTGATTTTCAGTCACTCGCGCGGAATATTCCTCATCGGTTCTTCTTTTTCCTGCTGCAGGAAATGAAGCACGAGGGGGTAACAGAGTCCAAGCTAAAGCTGCTCAACAACATCACAGGCTCCTTTAGACCTGGAGTTTTGACAGCCTTGGTAGGGGTGAGTGGGGCCGGAAAGACCACTCTTATGGACGTCTTGGCAGGACGGAAGACAGGTGGGTATATAGAAGGAGAGATTAGGATTGCAGGGTATCCCAAAGTTCAGGAGACATTCGCAAGGATTGCGGGCTACTGTGAGCAGAATGATATTCACTCGCCACAACTCAACGTGCTAGAGTCGCTGCTGTACTCCGCTTGGCTTCGTCTTTCACCTGACATCACTGATGAAGATAAAAAGGTGTGTCCTCGCAACTGTAAGCACATATAGAACTCTGAAGTCAGCTACATGGCCAGAAAAATTATAAATATAAAAGTCGAAAAGAGGCAGAAGTGTTTTTCCTTCTACTTATTACTTGTATGGCCCTATGAAGTGATCTGACCTTGTTTGGAACTGGTGCAGAAATTTGTGGACCAAGTTATGGACCTCGTGGAATTGAACCCTATAGAGAACGCGTTGGTTGGATTGCCTGGTATTTCTGGGTTGTCCACGGAACAGAGAAAGCGTCTTACCATAGCGGTTGAGTTGGTTGCTAATCCTTCTATAATCTTCATGGATGAGCCTACCAGTGGCCTTGATGCTCGTGCAGCGGCAATTGTGATGCGAACTGTCCGTAACACAGTGGACACTGGCAGAACTGTTGTGTGCACCATCCATCAACCTAGCATAGACATTTTTGAAGCTTTCGATGAGGTACTTTCGATGAGGCTATTGAGATCCTTTTGTTGGATGTGATTCATTGAGCTGAAAATTTGAGAACTTGGACCATCAGATTGGCAAATGAACTCTACAGGAATCTAATCTCACCTGCCCTCGACACTTGCAGTTGTTGCTTCTGAAGCGTGGAGGTGAAGTCATTTACAATGGACCGTTAGGACACAACTCTGACAAACTTATCGAATACTTCCAGGTTTGCTGCTTTTTTATGCAATTTGCTTTTGAACGAAACACAAGATGCAAGTGGAAATTAAGTTCATTCTAGCCTGAGATTTTTGAAATCAAGCAGAGAGAATCGATCTAACTGTTCGTGATCTGCTGAGTAGGCTATACCTGGAGTTCCTAAAATCGAGGACGGATCTAATCCAGCCACATGGATGTTAGAAGTCACCAACAGTAGCGTTGAGAAAAAAGTCGGTGTGGACTTCGTAGATATTTATTTGAAATCGGATCTTTATCGGTAAGAGCTGCCAACTTTACCTTCGCAATATGAACTTCACTGAACATCTTTTCTGGCCATTAGAAGCTGGTTTATGGGATTGTGGTTCAAGCACCGTGGAAGTATGCCATGCAATTAACCTTTCAATTGGATCATGGACTGACAGGAGCAACAAGAAACTTGTGGAAGACCTTAAAACCCCTCTACCCGGCTCCCAGGATTTGTACTTCCCAACACAATTCCCTCAAAGTTATCCAAAACAGCTTCAGACGATCTTATGGAAGATGAACATTACTTACTGGCGCAGCCCAGATTACAACTTAGTCCGCTTCATCTTCACCCTCTTTATGGCGTTGATATTTGGCACCCTGTTTTATCAAGTCGGCATGAAAAGGTAAACAATAACCCTCTTTTCGTTTTCTCAACTATCCTATAACCTCTACTTCTGTTGTTTAGAAACTCATTGCCACTTTCAGCCTTAATGGGAGGTCATTACTAATTACATCTTTGGTATTGGTTTGGCTTTGCTTGGGCAGGACCAATTCAACAGATTTGTTCATAGTTTTGGGTGCTCTTTACGGAACATGCATTTTCTTATGCTTCACCAATTGCGGTGCTGTGCAACCTGTGGTTAGCATCGAGCGCACTGTGTTTTACAGAGAGAAAGCAGCCGGCCTGTACGCTGCTATGCCATACGCAATAGGACAGGCAAGCATATCTCTCAATCTCACTTGTACAATTCGTCAAGAAATCTATGCTATGTTTCAGACTGAATGATTTTCTTCACCACTGACAAGCCTTGGCCGTTGCATGCAGGTCCTGGTAGAAATCCCCTATGTGCTTCTGCAAGTGATCCTATATGCAGCAATCACTTACTCACTGATAGGGTTTGACTGGACGGCTGCCAAATTCTTCTGGTTCCTGTACATTCTCTTCTTCGGCGTGCTGGCATTCACATACTACGGCATGATGATGGTGGCGCTAACTCCGAACGCCACTCTTGCTATCATTTGCGCCTCCTTTTTTTATGCCCTCTTCAACCTCTTCTCCGGCTTCTTGATAGTCAAAACGGTTTGTCTACTCCGCCAACCTCATCCTCATACTTAGCTGGTTTTTTTCTTTCTGGGAAACAGATACAACTTTGCAGAGAGTTGTGTATTACTCTAACGTTGGACAGATTTACATTTTGTGTGTTATGATACCCAACCTGATATCCACACTTGAATTTGGGCAAATTGCAGAAAATTCCTCCGTGGTGGATCTGGTACTACTGGATGTGTCCCATTTCCTGGGTCTTCAGTGGCCTTGTCAACTCCCAGTTCGGCGATGTCACCACATCGCTTACAATCACCGGCACCGATGGGCAAACCCAGATAGTGAAAGACTACATCAAGGACTACTTCGGATTTGATGAGAGCTTTCTCAAGTACAATGCCATTGGGGTGGTTGCTTGGACTTGTTTCTTTGCCTTTATTTTTGTTCTAGCCATCATGAGGCTGAACTTCCAAAAGCGTTAGGCTCCAGTTGGAGTTCAAACAAAAGAAAATAACTAGCTCTGCTTGCTTTGTTCAAATGGGTTAATCACATCTATATGCAAGAGATAAGTTGGGTCTTCAAATATACTGCACCTCCACACTTAGCTTTCTAACCCTTTCTTCATCCTGCAGATTATTTAACTAACCCTTTGCATTGACAGCCCACCTCTGAATCTATCCGACCAGTTTAAATTAGACTATTGTTAGAGCTGTAGCTTTTTGTAAATCATTTATTCATAGGCAGTTCCTGTATCGTATGACTTTTGGCTGCCGTGTACGAAAGAATTTAATGCAAACGATAAATTTTCTTCATTTCCATTAAAACTATCGAAAATTGCATTTATGCGTCTCCGAGAATTATGACTGCGTGTATTCACCATGACGTATGCATATGAAGTGCTTCCTCTTTAACTAGGTTATGGTAACTGCCTGTTGGTAGACCATCTGATGTCATGAAATCCTTCTTATGATACAGTTGAAACGAAGTGCAGAGGAATTTTTACGATGGAACTTCTGCACCAATTTTTTGCCGTCATTGACAACATCAATTTCAATGCTTTCATCAGAATTTTAGCATTTGTTTCATAATCATTGTTTTATGTTCATTGTACTGGAAGGTTTTGGTAGTTAAATTGATATTTACTGCTCGACCTCAGTTCTTGCTTCAAGACTTTGTTATGGTGTTGAAAGCTATGAAAATTGAAGTGGTACTTGGACAATTATACTAAAAAATTCAGGGATATGCCGTCAGAAAATTCATGATAGAAATGAAAGAGATTAAATTCTCATCAAAATAATAACAGTGCAACTTAAAACAATGATTCTCTAATGTTGAAACAACACAGGATACTTATCTTTTTCAAATGATTTTGACCACTTATTAAATAAATCTTCCCATCAAACATCAACCGAGGTTTTTGATACACCACAAGCTTCAAATTTCTATTGTATTGCATAAATTAAGGATTTTAATCGTGTATTGTATTTCTTATTCAATATCAATTACAGGTGATGGTACAAGATTCCATAGTCATGTCATAGTCCTGCATGGAAATAATTCAAACCACACTACAAGATCAGTTCAAAAGGGGGCTTTCTGTAAAGGAATTCTGAGTTGTACCGAGTGCCACCTCCTACCAGCGAACAAACAACCTATAAGAATAAGATAATCCTTGTACCCAGTTAAAGCATGTTAAGATACACAATAAAATGCTCAATGATACACTTCAAGCCTTCCACTGGCAGCCATTTAGCTGCAAAGTGAGAGATTGCATTGACATCCTAGTTCCAAACTAATTTTCGAAGCCTAGTGCAACAATTTTGACGAGGTCACCGGGCGAGGGACACGAGGTTTCTAAGTTTTCTTCACAATATCTTCATAAAGGTCATAGTATGACAAAGACTTTGCCGTTCGCTGTGGCAAGCCACGCTCCGTGCCAATGGACTTCTTCCTCAACAGAGCCGCTCCGGGGGACAACAAAGCCTCCTCAGAGCGTCTCTTCTCACGAGCCTTGAGCTTCTCTGCTTTCTCCATTTGACTGGTGAAAGCCTCCGCGAAGAAAGCAACCACGACGTTGAGGGTGAAAGCAACTGCGATGGCCCAGAAGGCTATGAAATAAGCGCGGCTCAGTCGAGTTCCAGTGACTGCAGCATAAGCATCCATGAAAACGTACCACTTGTTCACCACGCACAAGTTGAAGCAGGTAGCCATCCCTGCCGCGTAGTCATTGAAATTGAAGGCATAAAACTGGTGACGTTCATACTCAGTATCCTTCAAGGCAGGGTTGTCTTTGTAGATGAGGCCTCCGAATAGGTGCATGCCCAGGAGGGAGAAGAAAGAACAGACGAGGAACTGAAGTGCCAAGATCGGAGCAGTTGCGGGAATCACGTGGACTAATGTTTCACCCATTAGGCGCCAGCGAGAGATCATGGTAACGAGCGCGAGTACTCGAAAGCACCGGGCAATAATGAGGTATGTTACCCTGATTAATCAGCACCACTAAATGAGAATATATAATCTCAAATTTAGACAGTATTGGGTCCCTTGTAGTCCAAAGCAGTTTTTAATACATGACGACGAACATCTTCAAGACAAGCTTAATGAAGCAGTAATTTGGTGTGTAGGAAAAGTCACTCACCATGACCGGACATCAACGTAGAAGAGCGATGCCGCTTGAACAGCCAAAATCAGAATTGTGACAATGAAATCAAAGCGGTTCACATGTGTATGCCAATAAGATTTCCAGCCTTGTCCATATATTTTAAGCACACCATCCATAACAAAAATCCAGCCTGCAACGATGTGCCACTGAGAGTAAGAACAACGATTTGGCTCACAGGGTGCCAGAAACAGAGCTGAAGCAAAAAGGTTTTCCTCAAGGTGAAGCAAAAATATTAGAGTTTACACACTGCATGTATCAAGATGTATACTCACCAAATAGAAACTCAAGATTGATCAATAATTCCTTCACTGTCCCGGAGACCTACAATAGCATACGTACAAAGAGGCACATATCAAAACCTTTTCGAGCATCCATTCGCCTATACTATTTAAAAAAACATATTAATGTGTATTTGTCATTAGTTGCAGATGGTCATCCCGTAACATATCTCAAGTTGCCCTCAAATATAAACAGATGGTGTACAGATGAAGTAATGTTCGGGAACGTACATTCAGTGCAGCAATAGCAAATGATAGAGAGCACAAGGTCAAAGCCCATATGACGTAGTTGTAAAAGGGGTGTTTCACAAAATGCATGTCAGGGTTACTGCGTCGCCTCTTCAAAAGTGCACTTTCTGGTTGTCGTTCCACCTCTTTCGCTATAACATCACAAAGCTCTTCGAACTCGTCAGACCATATCTTGAAGTCTCCACGTTTATTGAGAGCGAGGAAAAGCCGACTGGCGCGAGCTCGAACATCAGGTATATGCCTTCATCACAATCATAGCACCACAACTTTTTAGTCGCCTAATTCTACCTTGTCCACTGAAAATCTTCGAAATTTTACTGAAATACAAGCAAAGATCAACAGTTTAATTGTGGAATCAAGTCGTGTACAGTAAGTGGACAGTAAGTGGGCACCAAATATGATATCCCAAACTACTAGCCACAGGAAAGTATCAGGGAGTGAGGTTCACTGCATATAAAGGAATACATGAAACGATAAAATAACCTTTACAAAATTGACGCGATCAATCGTCTAATAAACAACAGAAACAAAAGTAGCGTGATCACACCTGTAGCGACCAATGGCAAGGAAAAGTGCAATCATTGTTGCACCATCAATCCACTCTTGGTGGCGAGTGTCCAACAAACTAAAAGCCGCTCTCAAATTTCCTTGTCGTGCTGTAATACGCTTGGCAACCTCGACAGCCATCTGCGGTACACGTAAAGATGTACATCTGAATAAAAGGACAAAACCCCCTAAAAACTTTGCTGCTACAAATCGACTCACAATCTTATTACATTGATCTTAGCACTTTGTATGAATTTCCAATTCTTTCTCTCATGGAATCAAGCAAAGCATAGTTATACAGAGAGAATCAACCACTAATTAGCAACGTTCCAAAGTGGCCAAAGGTGCTAGGTCTATTGAAGGAACGCCGTAGAAGATGAAATAAGGGAAGAAAATGGGAAATTAACTTCCACTGGAGTAATAGATTAGCTCCACCACGATACAATTAGTCAAACAGAAGCTCATTGGGGATACCTGTGCTTTATAATTGCTGTAGATCAAAGAGAACGCCAGGTTCATCAGGAAGTAGAGGCCCAGAACCAAGTAAAAGAAAAAGAAGAAGAAGGCAAATCGGTTTGCATTGTATGTTGAAGCCCAAATAACTGGGTTGTTTGCAGTGGTTAGTAAGACAAAAAGGTTCAGCAATGACGTGCTGAAGTCCTTAAATTCAACAGAGGTTTCTGAGAATATTGCTGTAGCAAGCCAAGCTGAAATTAACACAAATGTCCCCACCAGCACCTGACACCCGCGATCACAAAAAGCTTGTCAGGAAATACATCACGAAGTGCACATACGAGTATTTACAAAGCACTTTCTTCTAAAACAGAAATTTGAGGCCGTACCGCTATATCCAGGAAAGTGTTTATAATCCGCATTGTCATCCGAAAGCAACCTCGTATGGCCCTGTTAAAAGAAAATAAATAAACCATTCCAAATATGTTATCATTTTATGCCTACAATCTACAAATCATCCCATGATCTGTAAGTCCTAGAACCATAAAACTGAAATATTCGACATAATCTATTCTTTGTATCAACAATTAAACAGATTTTCCAACTGAGTACGACCATCAAGTGGCGGAAAGCCATTCAACAGAGTTGAAATCATTGCAACATTATCTGTTAATAGTTATTCGATTATGCTGCGTGTTGTGATAGGATTCGAGTTACAGCATAAAAATCGCACATTCTGCATACAATCAAGTTTCGTTGAATACATAAGTTTCTTTGAAAAAGACTTGCACCGGGAGTTTACCTGCTAAAGACGATGGGAACTAGTAGCCGTATGTACATAGATACATTGATCCCACGCAAATCGGACAGTCCAAAAGAAGACGCAGCCGTGGAAATCACCATTAACACCAAAACCACCACCTGTTTCACATTTCAAAATACTCTGATAAGACTGTTCGAATGATTCATAACTACCAAAAGAAAATTCTTACATGGGCGTGACTTTAGAAGTAGGATTCAAGAAATGATACAACCACTGAAGATGAAAAAATAATAATGACAAGAATAAATAAACGAATATGTTTGATCCAAAAATATCATCAAGCTTCTGTAAAATAATATAAAAAAATATCAAATCAAATCAATAACCTTGTAGACCCCCACGCGATTAAGCCAGAATTGCGACCTTAAAAAGTGCCATTGTAAGCCACATGACCAGATTAGCACCGATACACATAGCACCTGCAAGTCAGTTTAAAAGTTAAGCACTAACACAGTGTGGCGTGCCCTACACCATTAAAAGAGTAACAGCAAGTAAATAGAATTAACAACCTAACAGTATCATTGCAGCACTTTACAATACAAAGCTGGTTATTAGATTTCAAATACATTTCAAGGGATGAGGCATTGTGAATAGACGGGATATTCACCATTTGCATGTGACTTAAAAATATGCAAACCTGAATAGACGCGGATATCCACGGTTGAATAAATGGTAAACCACTGAGTGGGTACTTCCTTGGGTCTCCACAGGGTTTCGGCAGATTGCCATCACACCATGCTGGAATCTACAAAAACAAACCAGAAAATCTCAAATTGACCTATAATGTAGATCTGTTGACGAGGCAAAATGATAAACTGGTTCATAAATTTCGACTCTTTCAACATTTCATTTTCATGAACTCTGCGCAATGGCGAATGCCATCAACTCCAACCATTCTGTTGATTAGCGCCGATAATCCAATTCATGTACCGACTTTTTTACTCTAAGTGGAACACTGTTCCGATAGAATAAACGAGTTGAGCTACCTCAGCTTACAGTACACAAGACGTCCGTATAATGAATATAATTCTAATGTTGGACTTGGTCAGGGAGAAATATCACTGACCTCAAAAAATGGCAGAATCATCAATATAAAGTATATGAGGCCTCTGACCAAGGATAATCGATGGTACATCAGAAAAGCACGCTTGGCACTTTCATAGTCTTTGTGATAAACCACAGCTAATGGCATCCATCTGCCCAACATGGCCTGCATTGCACAACGACCATGTGAAACCCATTTCTGAAGTTTCGCAGACGCGAATTACACAACTGGCCACATAAATTGCGCTCAGGTGTCTCTCTTACGTATGAAATACTGCACTTGACCATGCTGGATGGAATGTTCAGGAAAAAAGTATGGAGAGTATCTGTATACGTACAGAGCTACGATACCTGATCAACCAGAGCAGCTGCCATCTCCACATGGGATGTGAGAGAGGACTCGCTTTGCGGCCCAAACTCCAAGTCGGCGGCGAATTTTCTGAAGTCCATGCTCGTTGATTGAACGTATGCAGACTGTCCTCTTCTAAGAGGAGTTAACAGCCCCTCCTCCTGAATCTCAGGAAGAGGGGTTTTCTTTCTCACTTTCTTCCTCATTGGGCTGACTTTTTGATACACCTACTACTAAACGTCTGCTAAAACCCCTCCTCTATGAAATGCTTCTTCCGAAAGCTAGGACATCATAAGCGGATCATTCCAGTGAGCTAAAACTAAGCCCAATTAACCAAGCCACAATTTGCATTTGCAGATCAGCTCCACAGTCGTGTCAACATAAACTTTCAGAAAGAAATCGTTTTCCAAATAGAAAAGTTTGTCGTGCGGGCTGCCCAAGAGATTTAACCAACTGTGCACCGTCGAGAAAGCAATCGCAATAGCGATCGAATTTTGAACACAAGTCTGATATCGCAGCATATGCTATTCTTAAGCCTCATGTAATCAACTTCCTTCAACCAGTGCTGAATGATCCGTCAACGCAGTTCGCATACTATATCCTAAACGATGAAAATCGCAGAAAAAATTGCAGCTTTCCACCACCACCTACCCTACACGATTATCACGCGATCCATCCTCACTCCAGAACCATTCATGGCTAGACCTGTCGCTCGCAGACCTAGACTGCTTCAGCACTCTCACCATATCCTCGAAATCACATCATCCGAACCCAACAACCCAAAGGCATCACAACCACAGTCGACCGAACTCATAGGTCACGGAATCCAAAATTCCACCATGACCGTATTGAAACTATTGTTAACTCCGAAACCCCAGACCAATACTCACGACTCGTCGCCATCAAAGCAGAATAAATGCCTCGGACACATGGTCACGGCAGCCGAGTAGTGGTCACAATTCACCACGCAAACAGTCGTGATGCCTCTTTTCCTACGTACGAACATCCCTCTCACAGGTCACCATCACCGGGGTAATTCCGTGCTCCCATCAGAACTGTGACAAACCGCAAATAATCCTCACCATCACCGCCGCCCGCACTTTTCTTCCAACTTGTGCAGCATCGTCAGACTGCTCCACAAGGGGGCAACAACCCTCCTAGAAAATCACCCAAACAGTGCGTCACACCTCAAAGGCTAAAACTGAAACCCCAACAGCAGCCCGGCATTTTAGCTTGCAACGATGACTTGCACTAGCTCGATGACAGTGATGCTTTTTATTCGTGCGGCGCTGGAGCGGCACGCAGCCACATAGAAAAAATTGGACGCCACCACTGCTGAACACCTCGGAAGCAACACACACCGAGGAAGAACATTCCAGGTGAGTCATTGTCGTAGGCCGCAATATGTACCCGAAATTGGAATTCAATGATGTTAGTAGGTTGCTCGAGGGCGTAAAAGCTAAAATAAGCAATCCCGGGATGATGGGAACTGTGGCCCACAGCAAGAAATAGTTTTAGGGTTGTCAAAAAAAACTAAAACCAAAACTAAAAATTAAAAATTAAGAAACTAGACCTGGTTTAAGCACCCACTTGAGCACTCACAAACTAAACCATATCACATGTATCACCAACTCTAAAGAATAGCCTCAGAGGTCTAAAAAACCCGTCTGAACTACAACCCCAACGACGTCAAAAACTCACAGGAATAGGTGAAACCTCTCACTTCACCACGACGATGCAATCACATCAAAACGGTGCACATCTCATCCTCAAAATCATACGACACTGCATGATATTGCTCACGACACCGAAAGATTGCTCTCGTTCGTTTCAATCCAGCTGCTCCGGATTGTCCTTCCAGGCATTAATACACATGAGATGGATCCCCCCCAGCGCTGAGATGATTCTCTGAGGGAATTCACCGAGTTTGGTCAAGTGGGTACTGAACCTCACGCTTCACAATGTCGCCGCTCATCCACAGCATTCACCATTGCCATGTCTCGGAGCGAGCTGGTGAAGAAGACATGGGTCCCAAAGCAGGTCATTCCTGGGGTTGTACCGCACTTCTACAAGCTTGTACAACCTGCAACTATATCTGCAACTAGAGACTCATCATCAAATCACATGGTGCAGTTCCACCACTGTGCTGACATCTTTGCAATTCTCCACAGTAAACATGGCGTTGTCCAGAATCAGATTGAAAGAAACTGGGGCGATGGCGATGCCGTCTTCATTGTGCTTCTGTTACCACTATGACCAATCATCAACATGGACTTTGTTTCTACTTTAGTTTATATATATATATTTTTCTCTATCTGTGTAAATTTTATGATGTTTTAGTTTACGTATTGTTATACTTGTGTGGACAACTTTATTATTGCAGCTTATTTGTTTACTGGGTTACGAGTGATTTTATGTTTTATTTTTAGCATTGTTTGTTATGATGGACACCTAGGATATTGGATGGTGAGAAGTGTAAACGTAGTTTGTAACCCTCTTGGATTATTTTTTATTAGTTTTGGAATGTTACAGAAAAGCATTATTTGGAATCATGGGCTCTAAATTATGAACTAGAAATTATGGATCTTTACAAGATCCATTATTAGAGGGGTCGAAATAAGGACTGAATAAATTTATCCCTCATAAGAAACTATTTATATTGGCTTTAAATATCTTCTACATTGTTGTGAAGATGAGTTTTTCTTTTTCTTTTTGATTTTTGGTGGTATTTTAGAAAGTATTCTTTTGGTATAAATAGTGCAATGATGAGGACATTTGGAAGTATTTTGGGCATATATACTAATGTTGTTTTGTTCCTATTCAGAGTTTCACAAGTTTAATATTGAAGAGAATGCGTATTTTGAGTACCATTTTAAAGTTTATAAACCACTTATTTCACAATAAAACTTGTCTATTATTTGAAGGAGTTGTTTTTTTAGTTTAATCCACAAAAAGTCATAATAATATCACTTGAATAAACTCAAAGATATTTTAGGATGTTTTAGGAATTATTTGAAAAACTCCAAAGTTATAATAAAGAATGCATTTCAAATATCAAAGATGTCAATTTGTCACAAATATACATATTTATTCCAATAATTACCTATATGATTAAACAGAAGTAAGTGAAATTACATTAATTTCATAATATCTTCTAGAAAAGCTTTCTAAAAGCTTCATAGACGTGGTTTTGACTTTACACGTATTTGTAGTTAATTATTAGGTTAAACACTTTGTCAACAAGTTAACCACATGCCATATGTATTGGTAGCTTGTAGAACAAGCTAATTATGTGGCGTACATATAAAAAAACTTACTTTATAAGTTAAAATGTGTATCTTGTAAAGTCAATATACATTAGAGGTCCTATAAAAGATCACCATATTGTTGGGATAGAGAGAATTTATCTTAAAAAAATACTGGGCTTTTAGCTATTACTAATTGCTTAACTAAGTCATAAGATAGAAAAGTACCAAGTTTATGAATAAAATTGTTCCTACAAAGGCAATCACATCAATATATAAGTCCTAAGTACCAAGTACCAAAGATCACCCAAAATGTAATAAAAATATTTTAAAACCATGTATATCCTTAAAGTGAAAACTTCAACAACTCATATCTAATGATTGGACCGTCCAAACAAACTAAAATTTTAGACAAAGAGAAATGATTTATTAAATAACTCTGACAAAGATCTTCATTCCTTGCCTTCATCTATCCATACCTTGCTTTCATTACTCCAAATAAGTTTTTTAGAGGTTTGGATCTTCATCTTTGATTCCCAATCTTCTCTTTAAATTTTATACTAAATATCAAAACATCATGTAATTTAAATACTATAATTAAAATAGGTAAATCTGAAAATAAATTTTCTTACATCAATTCTCTTTAAATTAATCTATTAACTACTTTAATACACATCAATGTTTATAAATATATTATATGTTTTAATTAGTTTTTACATATTACAAACAATTATACTACAACAATGTAGCTCCTAGTTAGATAGTATATATGCAAGCAAATATAAAGTCTTCTTTACTCTTGTCAATGCCTTTCTAGTATTTAATCTTGTTTCAAGACTTTTTAGTCTTCTTATCTTTGGCAATAGTCATTTTAATTCAATATATAACTATTTTTGAGTGATTTTTTAAACTTTTCGAGTCATATAAGAGTATATTGAATTTTTTTTTTTGAGTTTTATATCTTTAACAATTTGACAAGAGTGTTAAATTATTATTCTTATATTTTTTTAGAAGTGAGTGAATTACTTCACTTTTATTATTATATTTTGAAGATTTCAGACTACCCACCTTTAAACAAATAATTTAGTTTTTTAACATTGATTTTTTTTAAAGAGAGCAAATTATCCTTCTTTGTAAAAAAATTCATGTGATATTATCTTTCTTTATATAAAATCATCAAATTATCCTTCTTTGTTTAATTATCCTTGTCTAATTTGACTTGTGAATTTATTAAATTATTTAAAATAAAAGAAAAAATCATAGATGCTATACTTGATAAAAATAAAAATAGATTTGTAACTATTGTAGATTTTCATGAACTTGTCAATACTCTTAAGATAGAAATTTCATGCATTATCAATGCTAACCACAAAAGCATTATTTTTATACCTATAGAAGAAGTTTAGAGTCTACACCCAGAGGTTATATAATTGGGGGAAGCAAATAGAATAGCTTCACAACCAAATTTTAAAAATCTTACTTTTAGAAGCACAAGAGAGACAAGAATTAGTATGCCTAAGAAGCTTGATAGAATAAGTTCAAAATTTCAAGAATTTTTACAACAAGTTAAGCTCTATTTAAGCTTGCATCTTTTCCAATACCTCAATGGATTTATTCGAATTGGACCCATAGATGCATTTTTTTTATTTTTATTTTTTTTGTAGGTACTATCTTTTGATTTGTACCTTTGATGGAAAAGGATTCATGACTCTTTTATATTTTGAATTCATTTGTAGAAGTGTTTATGGCCACATTTGGAAAAATTAATTGAAAAAGAATTATAGAGACAAAGTTCTTATCTTGTCAACGACAAGAACTCGATCAAAAAGCAATTCAGATAAGTGAGCCTTCACTCAAAGAAAGGTAACAAAATATAAATAAATAAGTATGTATATTGAAAGAGAAACTAGAATGGCTATTGCCAAAAGAAAACTAGAGACCCTTGAAACTAGACTGGAAGCAAGAAAGAAATTGACAAGAGTGAAGAAGGCTTCACTCTTATCTCTATATACACTATCTAACTAGGAGCTACATGGCCACATTCTATAGGACCTCCAATATGTGTTGACTTTGTAAGACACATGTCTTGACTTACAAGGCAAGTTTTTCTACATGTGGGCCACATAGTTAGCTTGGTCTTCAAGCTAACAACATGTGTGGCACATTGCCAACCTGTTGACCATGTTTCTAATCCAAAAAATCAATTAAAGACACCTATCAAGTTAAAGCAGCGTCTATAAAGCTTCTAGGAAGCTTCCATATCAAATACTGTAGAATTAACTTACTTTTATCTACTTTTACTTATTTCTACCTATTTGCATATGTAATTATGAGTATGTCCATGATATTACCCCCCCTTCTAAGAACGAGTTCCACGAGGAGCAGTCATCATATGTTGAAGAAATCTATGATGTGACAAATTATATTCGCCACATACTCTGATCTTTGTTCTCTTCGAAGATAATTGATAGGGCCTCTCAACCATCGGTAGTGTCCCATACTAGGATGGGAAGACCACCCAATTATTTGATCATTGTTGAGGCCTTCATAACTTCCTTCAAATAGAACATTTGGAATACCATCAGGAGTTGTTCCTACCTCTAGTAAAATCACCAAACATCGGGAGTCCCTTCGTAAGTCGTGATACCAAACGCGTTGTATCTCACCATCTATTTGAGGAAGAACATGTCGTTCTTGAAGATCTTCATCTCGATTGCATCATCTTGAAGGTTGTGACAATCGTAATGTCTCGTTTGATAGGTCAACAAATGAAGGCTCTTAAGTCGAATCCGCTAGTTGTTGGTTCTCCATCTCCTTAGCATCACAACTACAAAGAAGCTACAAACAAGGATTGAAAGTAGAATGTTATCTTGCCTAGATGTTGTTTCTTTTATAAAGAAGGTTTTCATCTTGATTTTGATTGATGTTGTTGATGAAAAGCCTCCACCGCCTTTGCTGCATTTGCAAGATTCTTTATTCGCTCTCATGTGCGTTCACTAATATCATATCCACGCCAATGGACAAAATATTTCAATTTATTTCGGTGTCGCCTTGAATCTAAGACTTCTTTTACTTCAAACTCTTCATTATTGTCCACTTCTATAGGAGGAGGTGGAGCTTGTCGTCTTCTTGGTATGTCCACTGTCTTGTATGGTTCAAGAAGAGACACGTGGAATACTGAATGGATTTTCATTGACTCCGATAGATGTAAACGATATGCAACTTGATTGATTTATGCAGCAATAGAAAATAGTCCAAGCCTTTGATAGTCCAACTTGTCTCAAGGACGAGTGGTCTTAATATTACAACGAAGTAGCCATACCTTATCATCCAAGTGGAATGGTGGTTATTTCTTTTAATAGACATCCGCATTGACCTTTTGTTGTTCTTGAGCCTCTTTTAACTGCGCCTTCGTTGTTACATGTAGCTCTGACAAATGAATTGCCAAATCTTTCGCAGTAGGATTATCAACCTTTGAAAAGTCAAAAGTATCAAGTCATGGATGATAACCATAATTAACAAAGAAAGGTGTTTGTTTTGTAGAAGAATGTATCGTGTTATTGTAAGCAAACTATGCCAATGGCAAAAGTATTGTCCAATCATCTTATTGGTAGTTAATGGTAAATCTTAAATACTACTCCAAAACTTGATTAACACGCTCCGTTTGTCCATCAGTTTGAGGATGGAATGGCGAAGATGGTTTTATATCCACTTTTAGAATCTTGAAAAGAGTCCACCAAAATCTTGATACAAATTGAATTCTCCTATCTGATATAATATCTTTGAATAATCCATAATAGCGATAGATATTATCAAGAAAGAGCTTAGCTGTTTCTTCACTTGTGATAGATTTTGTACATAGTACAAAATATGC